CCCAATTACATTTTCTTGGTGGGTCTGGGTAAGAAAGTGATGGAAGATACTGATAAGATTATACGAATCAGCAGTAAGTGATTGCTAATAGAGCTCATTGGGATTGTCATCCTGCTGGGTATAAAATGACTCATCTCAGAAGCAGAAGTGGGGACCTGTCTATCAGCAAGGGAAAAGAGCCAGAAGTTGAGCTAGACCCCTGCTTATTGAATCTCTTTGGCCCAGGAGACAGCTGTGACACTAGAGGAGCAAAAGAGGACTGAGTGCCAAATGAGTGGTGGCAGAAGCAGAATCAGGAGCCAGAGCATGAGACAAAGCAATGAACTTGCCAAATCATGAGCACCTTTGGGCAGGAGGCTGACTTGTGGAGTGGGGAGACTCCAAACTTAATTCGGTGAGCTAGCTTTACTGAACCAAACACTGTGGCCTGCTCCTTGGGCATTTATTGGCAGGTCTAAAGAGCTTTGTAGCATTGCATGAAAAAGGTCCATGGACCGTGTGGTTGAGAGGCCAAAACCAAGTATTCAATGCTTTCAGCCAAAATCGAAGTGATATTAGCAATAATATCTTTCGTGTGAGAAACATTTCAGTTTATATTCCTTTGATTCCTGTAGCCCTGCATTTCATTGATGCTTATATTGTAGCTCGGGCTTCTCCTGTAAGTATCATTAGTTCTTGGTCACAGGCTACCTCTTGAAAAGGTTGAATGTTAACCAATTCCATTTGGTACAGTGACTCAGTATATTCCTTTCATGTTCTTTGGTTGTTTACTGCCTCATTCAATACAGTGGTTCTCAACCTGTGCGTCTTGACCCCTTTGGGAATCAGACAACCTTTTTACAGGGGTTGCTCGATTCATAGCAGTAGCAAAATTACAGTTATGAAGTAGCAACGAAAATAATTTTATGGTTGGGTGGTCACCACAACATGAACTGTATTAAAGGGCCTTGGCATTAGGAAGGTTTAGAACCACTGATTCAATATTTTACCTATGTGATCATACAATTTTCATCTTGAAGCTTGACGTTTTCGCCAGTTCTTTCAGCTTGATACATACTGATCATATTCTTTTTTATGTTCTAACTCTAAGCCTTTGCATATTTCATTATGCTTTATTTTGCCTTCTACAGTTTCCCTTTGAAATTTTATGTTCAGCTATTTCCTTCATCATTTCTTTAATTTGCTTTAAATACTTTATTTTAAAAGCAAGTTTAGACTCTCTTCTGTCATGCACTTTGTTCTTCACCTTCTTTCCTATCTTCTTCATGACCTTTTGCCTCCTTCATCTATTATGTTGATAACCCACAAATATTTAGGCTTTTGGTCATTAGTGATCAATGCTTCAACTATGCGATTGAAAAGGTCTCCAAATTCCGGTGGGCTATACTGAAGGTCGCATTTTGGCTCTCATGGACTTGCTTTAATTTTCCTCAGCTTCAAGCTGAACTCTCGTAGGGATGGCCTGCCTCATCATCAGCCGCTGACTTGGTTTTCACTGGTGATAGTGCACTTGGCCATGATCTCCCACAAATATAGTCAATTTGATTGCAATGCATTTTATCTGGCAAAATCCACATGTGTCACTACTGCTTATGTGCTCTCGAAAAGTTTTGATTTGAAGAAGTCATCAGTCTTGCAAAATGATATCTTGTCATCTCCAGCATTACTTCTATCACCAGGGCCATATTTTTCAAACACTGACCCTTCTTTCTCTTTGTTTCCACGTTTTGCATTCTCGTTAATGGTCATTGTCAATATATCTTGATTGTATATTTGATGAATTTTAGACAAGAAGTTGGTATAATATTCAATTTTTTATCACTAGTATTAGTGTGAGGTGTGAGAATTTGAAGAGCAGTTGTATTAACTGGGCTTCTTTTTCTAAAAGTCACTGCTATTGAGTCCCAGCGACTCTTACCGACCCCCTTCTGTGACTGCTTATGGGAGTAGAAAGCCCAGTCGTGCTCCCACGGCGCTGCTGGCGGTGTCTAACCACTGACCAAGTGGATCCCAGTGCTACTCCATCAGCGGTATTGTGACATGTTCTTTGGGATGAGAAGTGTGATGCAATCCCTCTTTAATTTGTCATTCCTGGCACAGCATAAATAAAATATCTGTGAACCTATAGCTTCCCTTTAAAATGAAATGCCTTCAAAGCGGCTGTCATCTGAGCATGCTTTGTGGGAGAGAACGGGTCAGCTTTGTGAGGTCAGCGAAGCTGGATGATGTCAAGACTCTCCAGCCAACACATCCCTCAGCTGAACGCCAAATTGTCATGGAGGTTGTGACCACTGCAGTTTTTAAATTGTTATATTCTGAATGTATTGTGAGTTAAATGTAGGAAACATAAGAACCACGGGTGTTGGACCACAACCATTTAATGGATAATTAAAAAAATGATCATAATTTTGTAAAGTCCCCTCGAGATAATTGTCATCAGATTCAGAAGCTGCATTCATCTACCAAAATCTGTACCCTGCACATTAAGATGTCTTTACTACTTCAAAACCCAATCTTCAAAAGAAGAGCCAATTAAATCCAATTTGGCTTTTCATTTATTGGGAATAAAGACTATCCTCATGCTCAATGTGTTATTTGAGAGGAGTATTTGCAAATAGCAACCAGAAATCTTCTCTCTTTTCCCAAAATTTAGAAACAAAACCTGGAAATTATATTTAAAAGAGAAAAAACAATTTCTCCCTATAAGCAACTGAAAATATTCTCAATCGAAATCTTAAAGGCAGTTTCCCTCCACACATTTTTTGGTGATGCTATTATACATAGTTAAATATCAATTTATATTTTAATGTACACTGGTCCCCAAGTCAAATGCAATATTAAATGATAAATCATGCGTAGATGTGTATAAATAATTCTAAAAAATTAAAGAACTTGTCTTCTTACTGCATGAGAAGAAATTTAAAATGTTAATATTCTATTAGCAATTATATTAGGTGAATTTTATAATATAGCTTTTAATGACATTCTGATACTTCATATTTTAAGTTAAAAAGTACATCTTTATTATATACACTTATGTATATCATATACAAAAATGACACAATAATGTTGTTGAATCCCTTAAGAGAGTTGTCAGATTCTTACCATGAAACTGCTTTATGACTACATAATCATGGGAAATGATAGAATGTAAAAGCACATTTCAATTGATTTAGCATACTTTAATTCTATGATGCTGGGCAAGTTAAACACAGAGGAATAGCTTAGAGTGTTGAGTTTAGTTTTGTTTTTAAGTACCTATATCCATAATCTACAGACTATTACTGAAGCACTAAGAGTACCACTCAGTCCAATTAGTTTCAGTAAGTATCTATTAACAAGCCTACAATTGAAAGATGCTGGTGCTATATTGGATCAAATATGTCATAAGATAATAGCTAATGATTGATGAGTTCTAACTCTGTGCCAAACAGAGTTTTATATGCTTAACTTTTATTAATAGGTCTAGCTCTCATAATAACTATGAAGTAGATACTACTGTTCTCCTTACTCTGAATAGAGCACAAACAATGTCTCCCCTTAGCTTTGCTATTGACATGTGCCATGGCTGGCCTGTCCCAGGACATCGAGGGAGTAGAGATCTGGACAAGTTTAACAAATTAAACAAACAAACAAAAACAAATAAAATGTAGCGACAACAATAAGCACACACACATATAGTGGTCACCAAAGTTAATTCTAATTCATGATAACTGCAGCGTATCAGATTAGACCTGTGCACCAAATGTTTTCAGCAGCTGATCTTTTAGAGGCAGATTATCAGATATTTCTTCTAGGGCAATCTGGTTGGACTTGAGTTAACTTTCCTTGGTTAACTGGCCAATACATTAAATGTCTGTTCCACCCAGGAAGTCCTGAGACTCATTATGAGAGCATGAATTAAAACAGTCTCTATCTTAGTTCACTTGTTATTTTAAAGCCATAACAGCTTTACTAGACAAAATTAATGAACTAAATAACTGTAGGGAAAACTGTTTGACATGACTTTCTGATACAGGCCACCAGCTTACAAGGTAACCTCCTGTCTCTGGCCTATTAGAGCCAAGACAGTATCCAGAGAGGGTCTCCCAAATCACTAGCATAGTGATGGGAAATCCATATTTTAAGAGGAAGATTTCATTTCCCAGGAAACACAAATGTCTCCTCAAATAGCAATTCACTTTTATTCTTAATCCCTAAACCACTGACATCTGCTACCAAGCATTTTTCAAGTCCTCAAATAAATCCCCCTGGTCCCATATTGTTTACAGTACTCTCAAAGGGCAGTATTTGAATAAAGCAACAATAACCATCTCTGTTCTCCATCTCCCAATTTCTTCCTGGAGGGGTTTTTATACTCCAGGGCATAAGAAGAGATCTACGGGGGTAGGTGTTGGGGATGAGTGGGATGAAGACATTTTAAAGCAGTAGAAAATATGTTTATAGATTTATGATTCTTCAGAGATTCTAAAAGACATCAGTACTGAGATGTGGTAGAGAATCTTGTACTCTCCCAGAAAACAACAACAATATCCCCACCCTTAAGTCTCTTTCTAGCCTTCAGTAGGCTAACAACAACAACAAAACGCTTTCATGTCTTCTTTTTGCAGATTTGCTGGAAAGTACAGTAAATAGTCATTGCTCATCATGTCCCATCAATACCCTTGACCTTTGCCACTGATGGTGCACAGCAGAATCCTTTTTCCTTCGCTTCTTTCTCTGAATAACAGTTTTTCTACATTGTTGAGACACCTGCACTCTGACAATCTCTGCAGAATCTCCAAGCCAAACTGATTTGCTGATTGTACTCCAGAGGAAATTATCAAACATTTAAAATACAATTTTGAAAGCGAAAATTGAGAAGGGGTACAGACAATAGTCTAGTGGTTCCTTGCTGTTATCTAATCTATATTCTGCGGAAGCATCTGGCATCTCTAAAGTTCTGTTTAACTCTTGTCCATTTCCCTACACGACAAGCAGGTCATCCAGAAAGTACTTACAGGCTATGCGCACAGAGGCCTTCCTGCTCTTGGAGGTGCCCAGGTGGCTCCATGCCACACACTGGCACCAGTAGTCCTCTGGCCCATGGAAGTCCTCCACCTGCTGCCTGGTGACATTGATGAACACCTCCCGGACTTTCAAGCCTGATGTGGGGAGAGAGGAAAACTCAGCTGAGAACATTGTATTTCTGAAATAGAAAGTTAAGGTTAGCCAAACCTTTCTCTTTTAATTAAACAATTCTGTTTTTAATCAAGGCAAGGTTTTTAATTACTTTGACAATAATATATTACCGCTAATTAAATTCCAACAGCTGAGTAGGCTGGAATGCACGCGTGTAAAGTAATCGGAACCAATGTGCCTCCAATGTGCCTCCAATACAATAGTTTGCATGGTATCTTGCCTTCGTGCATTTGCTTTGTCTGGCTTTGTGTAAAAGCGACTGTGAGGAATGTAGTACTGAAGTTAATTAAGGCAATCACCCGAACAACTTGTACAAGGCTGGGATTCTGCAAGCTAAACAGACCAAGTCTACCAACATAGTTCCATTCTATTCTAAATGCCCCCTATCTGTGCAAATGGTAGAGAGAGATGCTCATCCAAGCAGTGTGGCTTAAACAAAGTGACCAGTGAATAGGGGTGGCATGGGGCGAAAAGGTGGGGAATGCAAGGAAGGACCCACAGTTAGGCTTTAGAAGCTTAGGATCATAAGGACAATGGGATAGAAAGGATGGGGACACTGGGAAGCTAGACAACAGACACATGGAACCAAGCTTGTCTCAAAGGCCAGGGAAGAGAGCCCAGGAAGGCCTCAACACAAGGGGAGGGGAAAGCAGACTTTTTTGAGTAAGACCTAAGTGTACGTCTTTGAATGCACCTGGAGCGATGCAGACGTGCACCTTTGACAGATTTTTTTCTTATTTTTTTTTTATTGCTCTGCCTTCCCTTCTGAAGAGTTTGCTCAGTGCTTCTCAGGGGGATGGATACCACCTTTCCCATCTCTCACCTGAGTCTATCCGCTTTTCTTTCTTTGCAAAGAGGACAGATGATGAGATGCAATGTCCTTCTCATCAGTTAAACCATGGACAGCAGGGTAGCAGCTTTTATAGTCAGCTTGCCCTCTCCATCCCACACCTTACATTTATACACCACACAGAAACAACAGACGCCATTGTCTCCCTGTTTTGCAGGTGAGAGAACTTTGATGTAGAGAGGTTGAGTCATTTGTCCACAGGAAGATAGATGGAATATAGAAGACCCAGGGTTTGAACCTTGCTCTGGCTCACAACAAACAAACAAAGCCAGCACTTAGATGCCCCTCTCCAATTCAATTCTGGACCCATTCTAGAAATGCTTATATTTATGTATGGAGATGAGACTAACACATGTACATTTAAAGAAAAACATGAGTGCATACCTATGCTATTTAAGTTCAAACAAAATTCATAAGGCTGAAATATCATTATATTGTAAATGAACCAGGCTCTTGGTAGGGAAGGTAGGCCATGATTATAACTTGGGTAATGGTAGGACTTAGAACGAGAATAGAGCTATAAGAATAGTCAGGATGAAGAAATATTCTCTTCTGCCCAATCAATATCATCTTATTTCTGGTATGTGATGAGACATAGTTGTGGCTACAGAAAATCACTGTGCACATTTTGAGTTGCACCTCTTTAGTTTGTGAGAGGTGTCCATTTACTGACAATCAGCTGGATGACAACTGACGATTCACATAGCTGCTGTTTGTGGAAGGCACAAAAGCCTTCCTTTTCCTTGTCAGGGTGGGAGGAAAGGGTTCTGAAAGGTATCTGGGACATGACACACAAGGAAAGAACCCTGAGAGGTTTTTCCTTGCCTACTGGCATTGTTCCTGCCTTTGCACTTAAATAGAAGAAACATGAATAGAGGGTGAGGACAAGAAGAGAGAAATGTTAACAGGAGACGAGGAGAAATATAGAAAGGATGAATAAAGCAAGATTGTTGTTAGTGTTGTCCAAGTGATGCCCAACTCATGACAACCCTACGTACAGCCCACAGAGTTGTCACAGATGGTTGTTGTTTTTAGTCTACCTTAATCTGAAAGTTCTGCTGCCACCTGTTTTAACATTGCTGTTATGCACTCCACTGACAGACACGAGATGCATTGGCCAGGAATCCGAACAGGATCTTCCATATGAATGGAAAAATCCAAAATCCTTTCATTGAACCACCACTGCCTCCACTTGTCCCCTCCCCACCCCCACCGCCCCACTGCAAGGCAGGACACAGATAGTGGGTGAGTGGAGTGCAACATCCATGGTGGGGATTGAAAAATTGAGGGGAAAATTTAAGAGGGGTCATTTTATAATTTTCTCTTCAATTGAATGAAAATGGTTGATGATCTACTTTGAAAAGTGGAATGGAGGTCCATAAAGAAAATGAATGTGTCCAGGAGGGAGATGAAGGAGCTTTAATATACCACAGCTCCCTTATGCTAGGGCAGGGACAGTCTATAAAAACATAATGTACCCTGCCTTTTAGGAAGAAGGGTGTGACCTCGGAAGCATTAGATACACTTGAAAGGCCAGGAATATGTTCAAGGTAATGGGAAACACTTTCAAATTTGACACTTACTCTGTTTCATAAAACTTTTTAATCTATCAGTCTCCTCCAGAATGACAAGCATCATCTCGAAGGTGTTCAAGATTACCATGCTTACAAAACTGCGTGTTTCCACACCCAGCCTGTAATGTTGGCTCAGATTTCATCTGAATGTTTCCATGAACAGAAAGACTGTAGAGTTTGCTCTTGAAAAGCAGACACTGCAGAACGCAGCACAGACCACGCAGTCACAACTCATCTCACACCTTCTGTGAAGAGGTTATCAACCCTCTCACTCACACTAACCTCAATTGGGAGGAAGATGTGGAGGGCACGATTTCCAAATTAAGATGACTGAACATGTTGCTTAAGTTATTAGACCTTTAAAAGAAACTATCCATGAGATGGGAAAAGCAAAGCATATATGATCCCATTGCTCTCCTACTCAGATGATTTTCTCTTCACAAAACATCAAGGTAGCAGTTTCTTTAAAAGGGATGTTATCTTCCTTAAAAAGAATATTCCGTCCCAATTAGGACTTCTTTTTCTAATGTGCAGTCATTTGTTGTGCTAAATGATCTCTTCTAGGAAAAATAAGTCTATGTACATATAGACGTATATAATAAGACTTATGTAATACATATATTTATATATATACATATATTACACACACACACTCAGAAACATATGCATTGTTGTTGCTAGATGCCATTGAGTCAGTCCCAACTTGCAGTGACCCTATGTACAAGAGCAATACACCTTCCAGTTTCATCAGTGTCTTGTTTAAGCCCACTGTTGCAGCTGTCCATCCATTCCATCATTTATGAAGCCATCAAGCCAAAATATATACACATCCTTCCCTGAGAAACATGCATAGAAAATAGCTCTATTTAAAGAACTCTTCCTCACTTCCTCTCACCTTCCCCACCAGCGTTCATCCAACTGTGATGCCGGAAGAATGGTGAATTCTATTTGTTCAGGGATAACAACTAACCTATCCAAAGGAAATGGTACAGGAGAGCCCGAATTCAAGGCAAATAAGAGATGGCATCTCTTAAATAAGAGTAGCATTGTACCTGATCACTCGCATAACTCTAATAACATGGCACAGTCTACCCCTTTAAATTATTGTACAAATTATAACCCTCAGCCTTTGTTATGGAGTAGGGGCTTACAGAATATAAAAATATGACTACGATACTGATATGCTAATAGGCTTTCTTCGCTGCTGGATGGTTTAGTTGAACATAGACTAATGTTGGCAGCAGATGAATAATTGCTCTGCATGTACTAAACATAACAGAGCAGCACAGAACTTCATCATTTGTCAGCTTTATTTGTTTAAATGAGAAAAATGCTGACAGCAGTTATTGCTGTAATCCCCTTATTTATCAGATGGAAAACACTAGTTAATCTTAGCAGGTCTAATCTTGTTGGGAGCCTAAAAGTTAGAGAGTTTTAAAATTAATCGAAGGTATATCCTTCCCAATTCAAGTAGTAATGTAAAAGAAGTGGAAAGAAATGGAGAGGGAAAAAAGAATCCTAATAATGTATCCTTGGTCCACTTTTAATACAAAAGGCTACAGGCTTAGCCTAAGCGCATAATGTGTTCTATAGAAAATAAATAATTCTGGAATAGTATTTAACATTCAGTATCATGCCAATTCCAACTCGGTGTCTACTAACAGCTGTCTCCAAACCTTTTATCTACAGCTCATTATCACACTTCCATGAGGTCCTTCAGTAACATCCTGCTGGTGGTATTATTTCCAGCCCATTCTCAAATACACATGGTGACGGGCAGTGGGGAGGAATTTGAAACAATTCTCTAGTGCATACCATGCCTCACAGTTCTATGCAATTCAATCGCTTGGAAGTCCTCTGTAGTAAGATGTTCAACTTATTAAATTGAGTGAATAAATTTAAGAAGGTTGGTGAGATTCCCCCACTTTTTCCTCAGCTATGTTTTTGTTCTTCTGAATCTAAACAATAAAAATGCAGTAAGAGACTAGCAAAACCTCTAGAACAGCATAGGGCTTTGGTCAGTTCTCTGGGAGAGAAAAATATATTAAACTTTCCATGCAAATAAGAAGCAATTTGTATTTAAGAGGCTCCTCTAATGGATTGTGGTAGTTACATAATCTAGTGTCAATTTGGGACTTGAGAGGATTAAGAATGAAGGGGTGGAATTAGTCAGTGGGGTCACAGCCAATGAGGCCTGTGGGCATGGCCTTCCCCTGAGGATTCTCGGAAAACTCTGATATTTCCTCCTTGGAGGTAGGAGATACTTTCCCATTCTACTCACCCTCTTGGAGACAGATGCTCTACTGACAAGGGTGAATCCCTGGGAGGCATTGCAGCTGACAAGACACATGGAACTACACAAGTGTCCTGAGCTGGAGAAGCCACATAGACCTACCCTGATGTAACCAGACTTCTGAAGCCAGAGAAGCCACGTAGAGACCCCTGCCAATGCTGAGGTGTTTACAACGCCACTGGATTCAAAGACTTTCTACCCAATGCCCTATGATTGTCCTGCATTCAGCGTCATTGCATGTGTTTC